TCTCCAACTCATTTTCTTGCAAATATTGTCAATATCCAGTACTAGGGTAAAAACTTAAGTTCCGAGGAAGAAGACTTAGCTATGACATGGGTATCCAGCGATCATCCATCGGTAATGCATTGCCAGCTATAATAAACTTCAGAGCGAAGGGGAATCATTCAAGAAATATATGTTTGCTGTTGATGCTTTAAAGAAAGTCACACCAGTGAACTAGTGGAAGTCACTTAAGCAATTGCATTTAGAGACTGTTGAAGTAATGATTTCACTTTTAACAGCAGTAGCTTCTTCTGCTGGTGTAGAAAGAATATTCTCTTCTCTTAGACTCATTCATTCTAAATTGAGAAATCGTTTGCGGCCGTCCCCTATAAAGCAGGAAAGCTTGTTTTTTTTCTTTTCCAGATTATGAACAAACAAGAAGATGAAGATGAGTGAGCTACAGAGGACAGTATTTTAAGTTTTTCATGTGTGGACTGGGTTGATAGTCTAAGGGGTTTTTTTAAAAAGATATTTTGTTTAACCACATCAGTTAACCAACATGGATGTTTAAATAAATACAAGAATACATATGCTATAATGTTATTATAGTTTTAGTTAAATAAAACTATTTAAATTGTTATTATTAAGGTAATTATTATTTTTCTCTTCCAATAAAGTACAGCAGAAAAGTTGTTCAAATATGAATGATTAACCTATTAAACTGGAGATAGTTCACGTCACAAAAATTTCATAATTATCTATCTATGTGTTTCTAATGGTATAACCAAATCAGCATTTTTATATAACTGTAAAACTAATCTGAAAAGTTGTTCTTCTAAAAATGAAACCTTCATCTGGTTGTAAATATTAAGATTATACCAGCAAGAATAAGTCTTTATGTAGAAAACCATGATTTAAATCTAGTCTTACTGCCTAGTTATTTAAATCGGTTTGATTTAAATCAAATCCATCCTGAAAAGAGCTAAATGTATTTTCCTGTGTATAGACAACAGAAACAAAAATCATGGACCTGGGGCTGACTGTGTGTAACTTCTACTATAACATATGAAGTGGCAACAAGTCTCGTAAAACCTGAGAATGTCTGGATGCATCTGTTCATGTACAAATTTATACATTTACAACTGTGCAGCAACTGATCACCATGTGCCTTTCTAGAACAGAAGCATCTATTTTAAAACAAAAACACTTTTTTAAAAAAAATTGGGAAAATATCAAGGAGAATTTCTGCCAAGGCTTACAAACCAGTTTGCAACAGCCAAGGTTTTGAGACCTATTCACAAAGTTCCGTTTCTTGCACTGGTTCTTTTTCTTCTTAGGCACTTCCTGAACCCTAGTGTCCAAGTCCCAACAAAGTTTCAAATGCAGAAAAACTCCAATTTCCCCGTTAAGAATTATGTTGACAGACGTCTACACAGCAGAATCAGCTTTTGATTTGTAAATGCTTTTATAAATAAACTCAGAAATCTAGATGCTGCATGCACCGAAGTATAAATTTATTATTTTCAAAACAAAGTGCCCTGTACTTTCTCATGCTCTGCCACTCTTCATTTCTCCTCTCCTACCCGAGGAAGGAATCTCAAAACAAACAAGCTGTTCCTCTTCCCTCTTGTGCAGAATGTGCCTGGCATCCAAGGAATTGACAGAGGTGAACGAGGAGATGCTGATATTTCAGAAGGGTGTGCCCATCACCATCACAGCCAACCGAAGCAGGTGCTGGTGTTGGGTGTCTGAGGCAGCTGAAGGCCAGTTCCCCAGTGGGGAGGTGTGGTTTTCGTCTCCTTTACAAGGCTGCCTCTAAGAGCTAGCACAAAGCTACCAGAACTGAAAAAATGAAATCAATGTAGCACTGAGGTTAACAATAGTCACTATTTAGACTGCACAGGATAGTCTGAGCACAGCAGGGCAGATGTTTACACGCAGTTTGGCTGACCGAGTCAAAAGCCTGTGTGGGATTAGAAGAGCCAAATTAATGAAATTTACAAGTCAGCAATGCAACCCAACACAAATAAGATCCTTCTCACATGACAGACACTTAACACCTCCATGGGCATTTCATATGCCGGTGTGGCTAGGCATATCTACTGCCAAGTTCACAAAGTGGCAAGGAGGCTCAAATGGTGGAGAAAGTACAGTGGCATTGCAGCTAAAGAATTTATTACAGGGACACAAGGCTAGAGTCCTATTGCTCAACAGTCCCATCTTTGATTTATTAATCCTACTAGAAGTAGTCCAAGCTATCCATTCTCCAGCAATTCAAACTGTTCATTCTGTGCCTCACTTCTCAAATGTAAAGAAAAAGGCAATACATGGCCTAGAAGGCCATAATGAACATGTGGCACTCAGCAGAACAGACAGAGCAATGATTGTTCTTTTGCAGGTCACCTTTTGCATGTTATTTTGCTCACTTCACTATTTTTAGTCTTGTTTCTTCCACACTCAGTGCAGGTTGCTCATCTGTGTGAGAGAGTTTACAATGACCACAGGATTTAAGCAAACATGGGCACTATGCCATCTACTGTCCTACTCTATCACAATGCTAAACTAACATATTTGATACACCATAAGGATGAAATATAGGGCAGAAGAACAAATACTTTTCGTATGCCCACATCCTTACACGTTCTAAACTTATGCATAGACTGGAATGGGGAGGACAATGAAAAATACTCTTATGGACTTTTTGGTTCATCTCCATGTGAATCTCTCATGATAATAAAAAAAACTCTACTTCTGACTACTTTAGGTCCCTGCCACACGGCAGGGAATAAGACGCTTGTACTGCGGCTAATGTGAGCCGCAGCAAAGTTGGGACAGCGCGGCGGGATCTCACAGATCCCCCGAGCCGCGTCGCAACGCTCCCCGGCACGATCAGATGCCGGGGAGAACGCGACGGTGGAAAGGGGAGCCTGGCGAACTGCGCATGCTCACACATGCGCAGTTCGGCCAGGGGGCGGGGATGCGCCGGCGCAAGGACGCGCCGGCGATCCCACGGCCAGCGTTGCTGCGGCCCTTCAGAAAGAACCACCTCGGGAGGTGGTTCTTTTTTGGCGCGGAGCAACGCTGGAAGGGACGGATCCGGGACGCTCCCCAGATGTTGAGGTGGGATTGCGCCGGTTTGCTCCGCCCCCGTTCCGTCCCGCTCCCGGCCCAAATGGCTAGAAACCCTCCCCCAAACAGATTGGCTAGCACCTTTGGGTGGCAAATGTCATGTTCTGCAGCATGTGGCACAGCCTACTGCTTTTGACCACTGAACTCAAACTCGTTTCTTCTACAAATTCAGGCCCTATACATCATGGTTCCTACTACAGTTGACTTCGAGTACACTATAATCTACTTCCTTATACAAGCTAATCTCTAGTGATGATTTGGTATGTGCCCGTCTTCTGAAAAGTTATGTCAGGAATGACAAATCTGTCATGATGTAATTCTCTTTTTTTTAATCTGAACTTTGAAACAGAATGAAACAGAATGAAATAAACTAGAAGACTGGCCGATTTGCTTTTGTTCAGCCCAAACAGACTTCTTAATTTAACACATGGCAGAAGCTTATACACAAAGCACTTGGTCACATAAAACATAGATTTTTCCTGCTTATTCAAAAGGTGTTATTTTTTTTTAATTCCTGCAAGAAAGGCGTATTTATCAGCAATGGGAAAGCCTGTTAAGTGGACTGATTTCTTTCCTCTGAGATAAGAGCAAGCAAGTAACAAATCAGATTACCACAGTAAGAATGAAAACCTGTCATTTACTACAAGAGCAAGTTTCAAAGGGGACATTTAGGGTTCTGTCCTTCCCACTACAGGAGCCATTCATTTCCCAGCAGCTGTTGTCAGTAAGGATTTAAAGGTGCGAACAATTTGCATATGAGGGTGGTCACACATTCTGCCCCCTTAAAAAAAACTTCCAGACCATTCAGAAACAGCCAGAGCAGTATTATATGCTCAAGGCACCTCACACCCAAGGACCTAAGAATGCTCAAGGAAGGCATTTGATCTAGCTTAGAAGATGCATAATGAACCCAGCTAAAGAATACCCACCATCTAACCTGGAACTGTCTTTCCAGCTCACCCTCATGACTGTGTAGAAAACTGATGGGGGAAATGAGCTATACATTATCAGAAGGCAAACAGCAATACCCCACATTTATAATGACATTAAATGTAATAATTTTCAAGCAAGTCCTGAAACTGGGTGTTAATGGGGACTTCTGTCACCCTATCTGTTGAAATGAAAATTCTCTATTTCAATACACTGACTAACATGAAGAGAGAAATGAAATGTAGAAGACGACGTGTTTTTTGAAGAATGGAGTGACTTTAAAATATATCTGGAAAAGAACTGGGATGTGAAACAAAATTTAATATGTTTAGATCAATATTAAGTTAAATGATGTTATCTTGAGATTGTAATGATAAGAAAATGATATAATGGATGAAGTATAGCAAGGTGGAGTTGGGGGGGAAGCATTGCGGGAAGCCACAGAGGGGAAGGGAGGAAATGGGAATGGGGTAAACAATGGCAAAGTGAAAATGATTGAATGTTAAATGTTGAATTCCTATGAAAATAAAAAAACTTTGTTTACCAAAAAAAAAGAGAGAGAGAGAAATGAAATGTCAGACTGTCTTTTTGGAAGCACGTATAATTGCAAGAAATATTTTTATTTCTGGATCTTCAGGAAGATATACAGACGAGATCTCACGCAACTGATCATGATCTTCAAGGCATGATGCTGGTTGCCTCTCTCACACGTGAGTGCATAATTATTTGAAGTAATCCAAGTTAATTTGCCCAAGAGCAAGGACAAGGCAAGACAGCCAAATTAACCATTATACTCTAATTCATACTACAGGCCTATCAGCATTAAAACAAGTTTCCAAGACCTGCTTGATTCTCAGAATACAAAGCCTTCCTTTTTAAATACAAAATTATTTAACATATGACAAAAGTTGTACGATGGCAAAAGGCCAGCCCCACCTTCCTCCCCTTCTGATTAGAGTCCTTACCTTGTCCAGGAAGCACAGCTTTTCCCGGGTCTTGGCATCAAGGATCTCCACCTCAAAGAAAAGAACAGCTTTTTTAGATTTCTTAGTAGTCTTGGTAGAGCCCTTGGGTCCTACACCATTAACATTCCTTTGTGGGGGGTGACCCCCCTCAACAGACACCAAACTCCCATCCATGCCTCTCTGCACAGCAGCAATTCCCCCAGGGGTGTGGCTAGGATCACGACCACAGTTTTGCCCACTGTGTCTGAGCTCCACACATAGGCCACTCCTGATCAGCGAGGGAGGTTACTTCTCAGGAGGAGCAACTTGTCCTGCAACTTGAAAAATAACTCCTGAGGCAGAGGCTCCAAGCTCAGCTTATTAAGCGGGAACCAGTGCAGCACAGAGAATGGGTTCCCTTCTAGTCTCTTCAGCAGGTTGTGTTCCAAGGCGTAAGTTGATAGTGCAGGGAGCTGAACCATTACCGTTCCCAGCTAAATATAAAACTGAGCCCAGCAGAGGATGCCTTGCAGACAGCCTCCTGGCCAGTCAAGCCATACCAGGGAAAAGGGAGACATCACCCTTTCCCAAAGCAATTAATGCCATCCAGTTCGTCACAAGCCATCTGTGAAAACACACAGCTAGGGAAATTCTCCCTACAGTTTCTCATAAATACAAGTCTGCTCCACCATTCTGCTCTAGTGTTCTAAGGTGCTAAATCACCTCAGAGGAGCTTTCAGAGGCTAGGAGAACCCTGACCAGCCATATCCCACAAAATAAAGCTTTATCAGTTGCATGAGATCTTGTCTGCTTTATCAACAGTGATGAGAGTTTTCTGGAAAAATATGAATCCAATATGATAAACAGAGTCTGTTCTGATTTAACATATATTTTATAACAATATTATATTTAGTCAATAATTTTCACCCCATGTTAATATTTGAATTGAAATACTGGGTTGGGGGGAAATGAGCAAGTGTGGCTATGTTGTGAAAATTAATTTTATTGGAATAATATACAATATAGCATGTACTTCCTGCTTAAATGTAAGAGGGGAAAAACAAATGCACTAAAAATTGTTTACACACAAATAATTCAATCCTATGAAGTTACTCCAGTTTAAGCCCACTGAATTTTAGCACATCCAAAGACCTGTGCATGGTATGCTACTAATGCGGTTGTCCACCGATCTATTTCAACAGACACTTCCAGTTTACCCCCCCCCTTTAAACTACGCCTGCAGAAATCTATAATATTGAAGTAAATGGGCAGTATTTTTAAGCCTTTTTCTTAGTGGTCTCTGTTTTGCTCCTGCAGAAAATATTTGGGGAGTCTGCCAGCCTACACAGGTTGTATTTAGCACAATAATTAAAGGTATATATCAGGATTCCTTTATCTGAAATGTAATCTCATTTTATTACAGCCCATGGCTTGACCCAGAGTTGCCAGCTCTGGGTCAGGAAATTCCTAGAGATTTTGGGGCTGGGGAGGGGAGGGTTTAGGAAGGGGAGGGGCTGCAGCGACCTATAATGCCATAGAGACCACTTTCCAAAGGAGCCATTTTCTCCAGGGGAACAAATCTCTGAAGACTAGAGACCAGCTGTAATTCCAGGAGATCTCCAGCCACCACCTGGAGGCTGGCAACCAGAGCCTGAACAAATGAAACCATTACTGCTAGCCTTTTAATTTTTTTTTATTTTAGAAAATGAAGTAATAGTATAGAGGGGATACAAAAAGGAAAACATTTTGTTAGCACCTCTTACTTTGGACGGCAGGTTTTCCTCCTACTAAAAATATTAAGCTACACACCCGCTTTGTAAAAACTTCTAGTGGCTTCCAATTAGAATGAACTGATGTGGAGAAGCTTTACAGTTTTTGTACTTGTGGAAAGATATGTCTTTCCAACGAGGGACTTAATACATCAGGGACCTTGTGATCTATTTATACAGATCTGGAAAGTTTCACTGGACATTTTTTACTCTCCCTTGTTCTACAATTTGTATTGTTCTGACAGAGACAGTTATTGTTTTTCATTATAGGATGTTTTGTAATTTAGATTATTAAATGTACACAAGTATGAGCTGAACTTAACAACTATATTTGTATGTGTATATATATCATGTTAAATTATCAAACACTTTCTCTGCATCCAGAAATAAAAACGCTGCTTTCTTTCTTTTCTTGTTCACAAATTCGATTGCATCTATTATGAACTATATATTTTATTTTTCATATACCTCTTTGGTACTAAGCCTGTTTGATCAGTGTGTATTAAATTTGGTATACATTTTCTTAGTCTTTCTGTCATTACTGTGGCAAAGATTGTATAAACTATGTTCAGAAGAGAGATAGGTCTATATGACTATGGAGTGTTGCATCTAGGGTTGCCAATTGAAAAATCTCCTTACTGGGGGACTCCCGGTCCGTGGCTGGAACGCACGCGCCCCGCACGCACGACACGAGGAAGTGACGTTATGACGCCGGGCACGCCGGGCACGGGGCCACGACCATCCGAGGGAAAACCATAGTTTTCCCTCGGATGACCGTGGCCCCGCCCACAGTGTGCCCGGCATCATAACATCACTTCCTGGTGACGCGCACGCCAGGGTGGGGTTCCCCCTGGTGCCCGATCTGCCGGTGGCAGGGAACGGGCCTCTGAGGCGGGGTTTTCCCCGCCCCCTGGGGGGACTTGGCAAGCCTTGGTGCATCACTGCCTTCATTATATATTAGCGTTATATACACCTCTTGCCACGTCAGAGGTATTGTCTTTCCTTCTTTTATCTCTTTCTTAATTTTTTGTAATGGTATCACTAAAACTGTTTGTAATTTATTGCTGTCAGCCCATCCGGGCCTGGTGCTTTGTCCTTTTTCATCTTTTTTTTTAATTCCCTGGGAGATCGGCTGAATTGTTATTATTTAGTTTAAAATTTTCCTGTGTTCTGGCGTAAACTTTGTGGTCAGGATGTCTTTTAGATATTCTCTTATTTCTTTTTCTGAGACAGACTTCTTTTTATATAATCCTGAAAGAGCATTGATGAATTGTTCTTATAAAAGACTCTAGAACAAGAACAACAGTTTTTAAAGGCAGAATTTGTGTTAAACTATTAAATGCATATTCTGAAATCATTAGTGTAATGAATCAAATTGAATACCAAACTTGTAAAATTAGGTTAACAAACCTTATTTTTAACTAATGAGGTCATGACTGTATTAGTCTTCCCTTCCCCAAACCAATAGATGAAAGTTTAGATTGGTAGTTTCCTTCCCCCATCTAGTAGTGTTTATGTATAAGTTTACTACTCTTTACCCATTTCGCATAGTCATAGTGATGGGGTATAGTTTCCCTTTCCCCTTCCAATTTTTAGTTATATTGTTTGTAGTTTTTAGAAAATGTAAATTAAAAAATCCCCTTTGGGGGAGCTAAAAATAATAATAATAAATTGTTCTTATATTTCTTTTTCTGCATATGTAATTTGATCTCCTTTCTTTACCATTATTACTCTTTTTTCTTTCCCCTTCCTAAGACAGTATACCAAGTATCTACCAGGTTTGCTCGCATGCTCAAAATGCCTTTTGTTTTAGAAATTTTAATCCTTTCTGTACCTCTTTGACTTCTAACATGCCTAATTGGTTTTTTAATTGTCTGATCTCTGCTAGTGTGTCTTTACTGGAGTTTTTTTACCATTACTACTAGCCTTGATAGTTAAACTCAACACCCATGGTTTGGGGGTGGGAAGAGGAGCAGCATGTGTATATTTCTGAACACAAGATACCTTCATGCCCTGCTTATAGGTTTCCCAAAAGCATAAGGCTAGTCATTGGTAGAAACAGCATGTGAGAACCTTTGGTCAGATTCTGAAATGTTCTTAATTCCTACACAGTGATTAAGGACAGCCACAAACTAGAATGTGAGACCCAAGGTTGAAAGTCAGTGTGTTAGGGCCAAAATACATGATACACCTGACACAAGTCAAGTCACAGGTGCCCAACCAATTCCCCAGTCAGACGTATGTTTGGTGAACTCAGGGGGGGGGGGGGAGCTTCCAGTGCCAGAGGCTTTTTGTCCCTTTTGAGAGCCAGTTTGGTGTAGTCGTTAAGTAAAAAGGTAAAGGTAAAGGTTCCCTTGCTCGAAAGCCAGTCGAATCCGACTCTAGGGTTGCGGTGCTCATCTCCGTTTCAAGGCCGAAGAGCCAGCGCTGTCTGAAGACGTTTCCGTGGTCATGTGGCCGGCATGACTAAACACCAAGGGGCACGGAACGCTGTTACCTTCCCACCGAAGTGGTACCTATTTATCTACTTGCAATTTCTTGCTTTCGAACTGCTAGGTTGGCAGGAACTGGAACTAGAGACAGGAGCTCACCCTGTCTTGCGGCACCCGGGTCTTGAACCGCTGAACTACTGACCTTCCACAGCCTGCAGTTCAGCGTCTTAACCACTTGAGCCACCGCACAGACTCTAATCTGGGAGAACGGAGTTTGATTCCCCACTCCTCTACTTGCACCTGATGGATGACCTTGGGCAAGCCATAGTTCTGTCAGAGCTGTTCTCTCAAGGACAGCTCTGAAAAGAGCTCTCAGCCCCACCTACCTCACAGTGTGTCTGTTGTGGGGAGGGGAAGGGAAAGGAGTTTGTAAGCTGCTCTGAGACTCTGAGTGAAGGGAGGGGTATAAATCCAATCTCTTCTCCTCTTCTTCTCTGGCTCCACACGCCCTAGGAAAGACACATATAGCCAAAAAAGGGGGGCAAAGGTGTTTCTGCTGGCTAAACAGTACAGGAAGGAACTTTCTCCCCTCAGAGCACTTCCTCATAGCATCAAGTGAATGAGTGCTGTTTAAAGCAAATTCCCCCAGCATATGTCTGACCATGCATTGGTTTGCACACCTGTGACTCAACTCATGTCATGTGCATTGTGTATTTTGGCCCTTAGCCACATTTGTACATAACAAATCATGTTTAATGAAATTCTTCCACTTTTCTAGCAAAGTTAGAAACAAAGTCCATCACAGATTTATGCCACCCCTCCTTCAAGGAACAACATACATGGTTTTCCACTCCTCCATTTTAGTCTCACAGCCTTGTGATATAGGTTAAGCTAAGAGACACTGGTAATTTGGGAGAGTCACCAAGCTTCATGACTGAGTAGGGATGGGAACCCACTGCTGCAACGCTTATATCACACTGGCTCAAGCTGAGGTCTTCCTATACATCCTTTCAGGGCAAGGCTTAAGCTCAGCAGCCAAAAGCACTTGCAATGTGTTTGTAACCTTAACCAGTGTTAAGGCAACAAATCATGGTTTGCTGTTTGCACCAGCCCTGAGGAAATGGCAATCTTTTAATTTTAGAGGAATTAAACTTCAACAGTTAATTTTAGAGACCATAAACTCTAGCAATTCACATATTTATAAAAGTAACTGTAGCCAAGATAAATATCAACCA